TATTATGTGGCTAGTTTATTTAAATGGATATTCAGATTTGACAAAGTGACCTTTGTTGTATATATGCCTTCAAATTGCACACATTGTAATTACTGAGACAATAGCGTGCCTTGAAAACTTTTTACTAAATAGTAGCAAAACATTAGTAGCCATTATAGAAGTACATATAATAATAAAACAGTAGATGTGACATACCACTGTCTTCATGATAGAGGCATAGTTAGAATGTACACAATACTGTTTTATGACTGGCTGCCGCAAGGCTTGAGTTGAACTCTGTCACGGAAAAGTACAATTTTCCATAGCTTACATGCAGGCACCGAACATGATTACATAAAATGTCACATACTGTAAGGTTCTTCTTTTTACATTTTACTGGAGACTTGGAAAAGGTCACACAATGATTTTGGATTGATTCCATATGCAGCAGCCACTTATTTGGATTATGCTAGTTTAAAATGGAAAATGTGCCTGAACAGTTTGTCTGAATGAACATGCCTGTGCTAGTGGTTTAAATGAATAAGCACAATTTGGAAAGGGGGGGGGGCACTACTTCCATTCCATGACTGTGTGCTGGTAAAGAGCATTGACTGTTCTGTCATTTATAACTTGGATGGAGTCTAATAATAAATTAACAAGCCTAAAAAAAGCCTAATTAGTAGCTGGAAATACAATGATGGTGTTGAAGCTATGTTAAGACTCAAGAGTGGCCACAGACAAATGCCTGGATTTATTTAACAGTAATGTTTTTAGAAAGTGTGTGGAATGGCCTCTGTTTATTTGGCAATTTTCCACTTTATCGGGGGAACTTAAGGTATATAATTAGAAGAAGCAGCATAAAGGTGTATATGTTGCCCGTGAAATTTTCAGATCTTCTTCATCCAGGGCAGTCCAGCTTATCCTTTGGCTTCTCATTAAGGTTGATTTACTAAAGTAATTGAGACTGCCTACTTAGCAAAGTGAATGGGCACTTAGCTTAATAAATAAGGTAGAGCTGTGTTCACTTTGAGTACCCAATCATGTGCAAGGGAAAAAAAAAAAAAACAAGACTAAATGATTGAAGTGAACACAGCCTAACCTTATTCATTGAACTAAGTGTACATTTACATTGCGGTCTTGCAGTGAGCAGTCTTTATTCCTAGTAAATCACCCCAATGAGTGGAATCACTAGCCTGGGGCATATAAGCAGCTGATGGAGCTGAACGCCTCCAGCATTAATTTTATTTTAACATCACTCATAATAAAGCCAAAGAATAAGCTGGGCTGTCCTGGAAATGTATTTTGGACAGGGGCAGATACACACATGACAGGTTCCCTTTATGTAATGTGCAATAGAAATGTTATTTATAAAATCTAGCTTCAAACTACAGCCTCGATATTCTGATAACTTGGAGTTCTTTGAATAGCATATAATTATAAAAAAACGTATGAAAACATTTATAGAAGGTATTATAAACCTCAGCTGGTATTGTGCACATGAAACATTCTTTGAAGGCTGAAATGAACATACAACTGACTAATAAATCATTATCTATGTAGCTGAAAAGCACACAAGGTAATATAATACACACTTTAAATAATAGATAGGGATGATAATTAAACTAAAAGGAAAATAAGGGTAAAATCAAGCATATAAAAATAAACCTAAGCAAACGTACATGAATATTGGCCATATAGGCTTGTAAAAAATATGTGTACTATTGTTTGTCTTTTTATACAAGAAACTGGTGATACAAAGGCAAGCAATGCGTGACAGTGTTCCAAATGCAATATATGTACTAGTGAAATAATGCAATGGCTGCTATTTATTAACAGCCCCCCAAAAATCTAACTAGTAAAAAAAAAAGGCATTCCCTAGGACACCACTAGGGGCTGTAACCTCATACAGTAGTATCTAAACTGTAAGTTACATCATTATTATTGGTAACATACTAACAAAAAGCATTCCAGCAATAGATCATTTGATTGAAAAGTAATGTTTGGCTCGTGGCACAAGTAATAATCATTCATTTATGACATTTGCAATAGGACAATACTGGTCACATAAATTAGGGATGATCCTTCTTCTTGACCAAGGTAATCTTGGAAACAGTTGAGATGTAAGGCAAGTTTAGGGATATCCTTAAAAAGAGAGCCAAAGAACAATGCCTAGACATGGTAATGTGTAAAAATGAAGACATATATAAATGTAAGCTACAGGTTGGCAACCTTGGCATTCTAGCTGTGGTCAAACTACAAATGCTATCATGCCTCTGCCTCTTGGAGTCATGCCTGTGGCTGTCATAATCTTGCAATGCCTCATGGGACTTGTTGTTCCAAATGCCAAGGTTGCCTACCCCTAATGTAAGCTTTACATGTACAGGGCCAGGAGGTTTCTATTGTGGTGGAGTAGGTCAGCGATCAAACTCTTGCTCGGTTTTTAATGTTCTCTTTGACCCCAGTGGGAATTTCTCTCTTTACACTAGCATTGCCATAACAGTTGCAGCTTGGCAGTAAGTTGAGCTTTCTAGCTCTGCTGTAGAAGTAGATACTGCATATAATCATATGGAGAGGATCAGCAGAGGGCTGAAGATACAGAAGATACAGAACTGTGTTGAGCAGTAGCTGATCTGGGTGATTAAGACTGTGAAAAGAATATTTACCTGTGGGGTTTATGCACAGCAAGAACAACTGGCAGTAGTATTAAGCCGTATCTTTCTCTATCCAGGGTGGATTTTTGAGCAGGGTTTTGTAATAAAGCTGAACTCTGGCCAGATACATTTATATTTAATGAAGATGTATTCATTACAAATCTTTAATTTATTTTAAAAAGTACCTTGTATAAGTATTTTACATGGGTTTATATTATTTTACTGTTAAACATCTCTCAGTATAGTAGAAGGAGAGCAAGCTGCAAAAGGCAATTAGGCTCTCTTATATTGCAACGCTAAAGCAGCCTAACACTGGGGGTTTACTGACAGGAGAAGAGTTCAGAACAAACAAAGTGAACAGTCCATCACTGTGGTGAAATTATGCTCCTACGCTGTCCAGTCAGCAAGCCAAGGGGCAGGTTAGTGAACAAACAGTACTTAATTGCTTGGCAGAAATATGAGGTCAGCATTCTACCTGTGCTGTCTGTCAGACGTGTCTGTATTATGTATATCAAATGCGTATATAGTTGTTTGCCTGAAGCTCAGCATTACACTGTCTTGCTAACCCAAAAATATAAATGCAAAAAGAAAGTCTGCACCCTCTGCTAAGCTGACCCAGAAATAGAGTGCCGACTATGGTATAAAATTAATATCGTTCTTTATCATCTACAGGAAAGACCTAAGTGACCATATTATGGCAATATGATGTATAACTTAAGCGCACATTGAACAGCTAATGTAAAGATAGCATTTTTCCTGGTGGTCCAACCAGCTATTTTATGAGCATATTAGTTACTTTACTAGTGCACATCTTGTGTTTAAAGATCAGTAAATTTCTGTGTCATAGTAAAAACACAGAATAGCAAAGATAACAGGCATACAAAAAAAAAGCAAAGAAAATGTAAAAATAAAGCAAAATAGAAAATAAAAAACTGTTCGGCCAAGTTCAAGTCATAGCAAAAGCAGAAGGTTGGTCTTGATAACTGTTTTGGCAGGTATTTAATATTTGATTCATAAATGTAAACTTTGCAAGTTCGCTAACAATAACATAAAACTTGTACTTGCACTTTGAAGTACGTGTTCCTTCTCCCAGAATTCTGTTTATCGCAGGCCTTAAAAGAGAACTGTGATTTTCACTCATCCTCATAGTTGGAGCCGGCCTGTGACAATGAAACTGTCACAACTCGGCTCAATAGATCGGGAAGTGAGCGAACACGTACCGCTGCACGCTCACATCTCAATCATCTCCCTGGAGAGAGCCATGACTGTCACTCACGGCTCCCTGCAGGGATTCCCCTCCCCCGCTCCCATCCTCCAGCGCTGACTGGCGGGACGGACGGGGGAGGGGGCGGGTACAGCTGGCTCTGCCTCTAGATAGGCAGAGCCAGCTGTCACTCACGCAGCTGGGTGGATCTCGACAGTAATGCCGGGATCCGTCCTGGCTGCGGCGGTCTCAGTATACCTCGAGCTGTGACCCGTGACCCTTAGGAGAACTATGGGGAAAAAAACCTTACCCCATAGTTCTCCTATAAACACACTGGGGTTGTTTAGTCTTTGCTTGAAAATTTTTCTTTACAACAGTATCAGCAAGCATTTACAAATAATTGAACACGCTTTGGGTCTGGGAGTGTTGAGATCATAAACCACAGCAATATTCAAATTAAAAGGTATGTTAACAGTCTTCCAGACAAAGTGTAATGGAGAACGCTGATCCTCTATTTCTTTAGCAATCATCCCAACAAATGCCTGAGCTACTGATTAGATAAGCAGCATGAGAGGGAGCCAAAAGTATTTATTCCCAGGAAGTTGTACTTCAGATCCTCTATTATACTTTGTCAGTCCCAGAAAGGCCGTTATTGATGTAGTTCAACATTTTAGTACAGGCCAACTGTAATGGATGCATTGATTGTAGCTTTAGACCACCTTTAAGTAGGCTTTAAGTTTAGCTATCTTCTTAGCTGTCTGCTAAGAAGATAGGTCAAACAACTTTTTCCTACCATACACAGCCATCTTGGACACGCACATCTAGAATTCACTGTTTGATCTTCTTTTAATACTTTATGTTGAAAGTGTATGCAATAATGGAGCAAGCAAGCGTAAGAGGCAAATAAAACAAATTAGCACAGTGTGAATGTATATTTTGCAAAGCATACGGTAAAAAGATCACATAATAGACAATGGTAGACAATATTTCCCAAATGGCTCCTGAATATCTACCAAGACAATGTAAAAACATGAAAAAGAAAAAGCAAAAATAACATATCTGTCGGTACCAAGTTGTGTTTTTCCACATTATTATTACTTTTGTTTTTTTCAGATGAGAACCACTATTTCATGGTTACAATATGGCGTTGACAATAATTGAGTTGGTATCTGCTTAGCTATTTCCAGACAATCACACTATACCCGGCAACCGGACAGGGAGATTTATTGAATATTTGAGTCTTGATGGTGTAATCAGTGCAATCAATCTTAATTCCACTGAAAATAAAATACTGTAGCTCTCCTAAAAAAATACCCTGGACTGGCACAAAAAAGTCACTCTGATGGCTTGCACAAAATATATAAATAGTCATGGGACAGCATCAATAACCCCCGTCCATTTGTGGATGTAAACAGTGTCCATTGGAGTTGGGATTGTATAGTAAAGTTTATCCATGTATCTGGATAGCAATACATTTCGTTTCCTAGGAAACTGTAAAATCCTATACCAAGCCACACACTGAATGAGCATTAGGTTGGTTTATAATATTTGAGATACAGCTTTGTATGTTTTTTTTCCTTTTCATTTCTGTGTTAATATACAAGAAGGTTTATATCAACGTCTTTGTTTTAATATAAGTAAAACTCATTGGTCAGTATTTCTTTTCAGTATGTTCCTTTTCCCTTGGTAACTTTGTCTTTATTAGCTCCTCTGTCTTGTTATTTTTCTATGTAGGATCAATATGCTGTTGTCAAAGATACCACAGTCTCATGTCTGCCCATCGCTTCTAGGACTGCAGCCAGTGTGCTCAGGTTCCCGTCTGGGTAGTTTTGCGCTTCCCACAGATCCAAGATCACTCCGGTCGGACTGGGCTTGGTAGCAAAATAATTGAGATACCTGTAGCAATTAGAAAGACATCATTAGATAGCCAAGGACAGCTAATAATTATAATCACATGTCTGAAATATTCATTTATGGTAAATAGTACATGTGGCACAGCTTAGTTATTTGAACCTTGAGAGCCACACAATTATCACCACTCAAAAAGTCTGTGGGTGGATTTTATCAAAACTTGAGCAGACAAAATCAGCTGCTCTCTTGCAGTTTACTCAGTTAAGATTTGAAAAGGAAAGAGAGAAGCTGATTGGTTGCCATGCACAGCTGCTCCAGGTTTTGTCTGCTTCAGTTTTGATAAGTCCACCTCTCAGGGTTTTAAGGACATTAGTGACATCCTTTTTGAATTGACCCAAAGGAAAGTATTGTTTTCAATCAGATCATACCTCACCCATACGTAGGGGTCTATTCACGAAGCTGCCAAAGGATCTGGCCGCAGCTTCGGCCGATCCTTCGGCTAGCTTCGGCCCCAGGACCCCTTTGGTTCAGCAGAACCGAAGGGGCGCTGTACGGGCTATTCACAATAGCCCGTACAGCTCCCGATCATAGCCGAGCCGAACGCATATGCATTGGCTCGGCTGAGCCGTGCTGAAAGCCGAAGCTGGCCGAGCGGCCGGCCATTGGCCGGCCGACAGCCTGCTTCTGACA